CTATTACTAACTGGGCTCTGTAGCTCAATAATTTTAATCTATGCTCTAGCTATTAGATTAACTTGCAATTTTTTGGGGCTCATTACTGGGTTGCACAAGTAATACTCGAGTTTGTGTGTTTGCGTCAAGGTAAACTCGAATTTATATATGAGCTTGGCCAAACACACACGTATAACACTTATAGCAAACCGTTGTCCGACGCATAGTCGGGGTCCGCCACCAAACGGTAAATACGCGTAAGGATGGTGTGAGGGCTTAAACCACCGGTCGGGTAGGAAGTCGTTGGGGTTGGGCCAGTAGTCCGGATCCCGGTGTATAGCGTAGGGATATATTTCGACGGATGCGCCCTTTGGTATAGTTATACCTATTGCATAGAAAATTGTTATAGTTGTAATTTACATTTAGGTAAAACCTAATGGTACATTTTAACCCTGCTATAATGCGTTTAAATTTCTCTAGTTATTATTACCTGTATTCCCAAGATTGTAGTCCTGTAGGCATTCCCTTTGCATGCGGGTTATGGATGGGGTCAGACGTAGGGTCTCATTGATCACTGCATTCAAGTACTTCAAGTGACCCAACGTTTCGTACGTAAAATCGTCGCAAGTTTTCAACTCGTCATACAATATCTGTTGACATTCCGGGTGAACGGACAGGTGGTATATAACGTGCGTTAGGGCGGCAGCGGTGGTGTCGAATCCGGCGAAGAAAAAGGCTATTCCCTGGGCAGCCATCTCTTCCGCCGTTATCTTACGATTAGTAGGCCTTTTGGTCGGGGCGTCAGTCGACCCGGGGTCCGGTTCCCCATCGCTGTGGGTATTATAGCCCAAGTCGTTGTCCGACTTTTCCGAGTCTATCATTACTTGTATGAAATCTGTGCGACGTTTGGCTATAAATATGTGATAATAATGTTTAAACTTTTAAACTAATGAACAAGGCATACTTAATAATTTCACGCGTACGCACTTACATTGAACACCAGGGTGCTTAGCCTTTCTCTCTTTCAATATTTGCTTGGTCAGCTCATCGAAATAGTCAACAGAATTTGTATCAAAGAGCTCTAACTTTAGTAGTTTAGCTAACCAGGGTGCTAACAACAAGAATAGTATACGAAAACCACCATCCATGCTTAACATTCGCTTAGCGTGGGTCACAATGGGATGATCGAGGTTATTTATGGACTCGGGGTTTATGCCGTAGGCACAGGCGCTGATGGCATCCATGATAAAGGCACTGAAATATCGTCGTATATCTACTGGTTCACCTGGGTCCAATTGAAAAATATATTAAAAAGACAAGTAGTCATAAAAATATAGATAAGCCTTAAATACCTTTTCTTTGATAGGCGTCCAGATTGTCGACAAAGGAGTCGCAAATATGGTCGACGTGTGCCATCATTGCCCGCACTTTTCCCGACGTGAACGCCGCGGACACTATAGATCGGACCCGTTTCCAATCGTCGTCCCCCGGCATGAAGTACATGTGCTTGCTCACCTTTTCCGACCCAGGGCCAATGTGTCTGTGATCGGCGAATACGTGAAAATCCCTGACCAATATGTCCCGGAGCAGGTCGGGCTCGTTCACCACCAACATCCTCCCGGTGACCGTATACGCGCCGTACACTCGACCGTACTTTTGTACGGCCTTTACGGTGTAGTCGTGGTGTATGGTGTATAGCAGCTCGTACTCCATGAAGTTTGGCCCTGGTACACCGTGGCGGGACCAGTACGTGAACCACCATCTCAGAAACCTTGGTAATGGTATTACATATTTTATTAATATATTTATACTAGTTTAATTTAGTTATATTTACAGTGCAATGAAGGTAAATGCAAGTATAGTGAGTATTAGTTGCAATTCCATTATTATGCCATTATTTAAATATGCTAAAAATATAATAAGATTTAAAACTAAATGTCAACTTTTTAAAATTGAAATGTTGTACCAGTTGAATTAAAAATTTTTAAAATAATATGTATATTATACATTGTATTCTAAATTATTATATCTTACAAAAGCTGCAACATATCAAATTTATCAAAAATATTTAATTAATAAAATATTGAGACTTCATATAATTTTGAGATACTTTAACTAAATTATATCATAATACCTGAGCCACGACTGATTTTCTATCAATGTAAGTCCTTTATATAAGAAATGTAATGTCAAATATTAATCTATCAACAATTTAATATATCTGAGCTAAGAAAACAAATCTAGACTTATGGATGAGTCGTGAGTCGAAAGCTTTTCCTAATTCTTACGTATAAAGTAGAAATGTTTATTTTAAAAATCTTTCGACACACGACTTATCCATAAGTCTAGATTTGCTTTCTAAGCTCAGATATTATAATGCTATAGAATTTCGTTTTTTAATTTTCAAAATCTAGCCTTCGATTAAAAAAGTGTTTACGATTATTTAAGCAGATTAAATCTAGAAGTTGTAATTATGCAAGTTCAACGATTTACTTTTTTTTATAGTGGTTGGCCTAATATCTTAGGCTGAAATCACAAACACCAATGGAATAACACCTTAATTATTCATAAACCACCTTAGTTGACTGATTTGAAAGAATATTAAAAATATATATTTTCTAATTATACTATTATACATTTTATCTACGATTCGCATACATTACCAGTGACAAAACGGTGACTATTATAACAGTATAGAGATTAATATTAAAATGTTTAATGTTTTGTCACTCATAGTGTGGCCCCAAATGGCTCCAGCGTTTATCGTAGTCATTATATGAACAGTTGAAACTTGGAAAGACCTCTAATGTTTTTATACAATAATATTTATTTTTGTACTTGTGCCAATTTATTGGTTTAACCTTATACAAGTTCAATGTCATTTGAAATGATTACTTTTATTTACAATATTTTCATTAAATTACCTTTATATTAACTCTGCAGTAATAATAATGTATATTTAACCATCTATAAACCGTTATCTAGCCATCATATTAAAACAGTTTATATACAGGTTTTGAATATTAATTAATCTAAAAGGTGTAGATTTGAAACTAATACTATTGACAGCATTTATTACATTTCAAAAAATTTACAATGACAACAAAATATTATACCAAATATTAATTTTAAATAAAAGAGAAAATTACTTTTAATGTTCATATACTTAATAATATAATACTTGCGTTTTTGTAATAAATATTTTGCAAAAAATTATGATATAAGCCTGTTTATTGTAAACTAAACAGTAATTCTGTAAACAAAACAATATTACAATAAATTACTAAAATTAGAATCAATTAATCGGTTTGTATGAGAATTATAGCATAAGTGCACGAAATGTTCAAAACTGTGAAAAACATTTCAATATTTATGCGGAAAATATCTGTGGCTTTAAAGGCCAGTCGTTTGCGGGCTATGGATAAAATCATATCAAACTTCTGTTTATCGGCAGCACTGGTAGTCTGAATGCCATGAACACCGGTACCGGCAATCTTTGACATCGTGGCCAGACATAACTCGTCAGCGGCGTTGACAATAAGTTGAGAGCACTGGCAGGTTATGAAATGATCGGTCAGTACAGTCATAAGCTGTAAACCGATACTTATTGTGATAATGGGATTAAATGGGTCCTGGTTTAAAAATATTATTAAAACATTGATTTTCATTGAATAAAAATTATATAATTATATTAAACCCGAATAATATTTTTAAAAAGTTATATCTGAAAACATTAATAAAATTATTTGACAATTTGAATTACAATTTATTCAAACGCATACTATGATATTTGATACAAAATTTAAAAATAGTCCCTGTATTTTCGTAAGTAAAGCTAAATTAAACCTATTTTAAGTGCCCACAAATGAATCACAACGTGCTTAAACTAGTTATGTGTTTTCTAATGTAAATTGTGTAGATAATAAAATCTTTGTATTCATATTGCACAGTGTGATATTTGATATTATTAATATAATAATTATGCAAAATTTATAGTTTTTATCAAAAAATACATAACTATTTATGCATGATATGATAGTGAACTTGTTGTAGTGTATTATACTGCATATCTCTAATATAAGGGTTAAAAAGTAGTGTGGATATAATGTTTTGTGTTGAATAACGAATAAAACAAATTTTATTTATTCAAATTGTTTATAAAACATTTTTGCAGTGTTAGGGCTTACATAAGATTTGCGGTAAAAATTTACAAATAGGCATAAAAACAGTGGACTCTGAACCCAACCGAACCAATATTGCCAACCGACAGTTGGAAAGCCGGTGCCCAAGATTGCACTGAATATACCGTACGTCACGAGTGTCAGAAACTTAAGGATCTGTGCGACAGTTATATACCGTTTCCACCACAAGAACCGGTGGACAGTCGGTCCCAACGCCGACAACGCGTAATACGAGTACATCATTGTGTGGACGGGTGTGTTGAGTACGACAAGGAGGATAATGGGTTGATAGGTTGGCATGAGTTTAGCCAATATCCAGCAAAATACCGATAACATGAAGTGGTGGTAGAGGTGCAGGAATGTCAGGTGAGACCCCTCTTTGCGTAACACCAGGAATATAATGTCCAATAGATCCATGCATTTAGTATACCCGTAGAGTATTTCAACGTCGATGTATCGCAGGGTTTGAGGGCTGGTATCTTCACGTGATGGGAACTCATACTCTGTTATCAGTAGGGTGACCAGAAATTATTGAACCCCAAGGAGGACATTTGCCATAAATGTAATGTTATGGGGAGGATTTGAGGAGGACAGGCTATTTTCAAATCTGAATTAATTAGTTGTCTTATACATTTAAATAACTTATCTAAATAACAAATACTCATCGAGATATTCACACAAAAGAATTAAATTTTAAATAATTAATTTAAAAAAACTATTTATCGAGATGAGTACGAACTTTATTTGATAAAATAATCTTTAAATAGTATTTTATCAAAAATATTATTAAATTTAATAAGACTACTGGAATTAATCATATTTATATAAATATACTTATTATAAAACACATAATATTAGCAAATAAGTTGCATTTTATGGGATTTATGTCGAAGGAGGATATCTCAATGTCCTCTTCAGACACCGGGGAGGACTGTGCTCTGATAGGTCTAAAGGAGGACGATCCTCCCCACGGAGGACGGTCTGGTCACCCTAGTTATCAGACGACCAAAGTCTAAAAACTTCTAAAATATTACGAAAAAGTAGGCGTTAGTGACGGCCATCAGTATATTGTAGGCAAACATAAGCCATCGTAAGTTAAACGGCTTTCGGATTGCCATCAGTTTGGGTCCTATTTTGGTCACAAACAGCAGCCATAGAGTCATGAATGTCAGCACCGATAGAGGCCCTCACCGGGTCAGCCAATATTGTCGGGTCCGAGGGTCGGACTCATGGATCCAATAGTTATGCAAATAATAGTTCATTTCTGGTAATGTCCCAATAAGTAAGAGTAATATTTTTTATATTTTGTATTGTTTAAATTACTTACAAAATGAAATTACTTTAAACTTTGTTTCAATTAGGGAAAATATATAAGGATATAATCATTATACTTGTACTTGTTTTATAATAACCATTATAAAATATCATTTTGTCTTGTGTACTAACTTATATATGCATACATGTATATATTACACTAGCCTATACTTAACCTTCAAAAATATAAATGTTACATGTATAATAATAGGCGTTAATATAATATTACTTAGGTTTACGGTTTTATGACTTAATTGTTATTGGTTAGTATTTGACAAGATTATTTTTTATGTGTATCATTAAAATCATTATTGAAAAACATTTATTATTTTGATTGACTTAATTATTTTTGCCAATACATAATTATACAACTTACTTGTTTTTATTCTAGGAATTCAATAAAATTATTTTAGACATAATTATTATATAAGAATGTATATGTTTCGGAATACAGTATATAGAAAATTATACAAGATTAATCTTTAATAGTTGAAAAATAATTTAAAATAAATTAAGGCGTTTTCTATAAGTTATTTATAGACATTTTATAGACTATAACCTTGAAGAAATTGAAAATTATTATATTAATAGCACTGCAATACTTGCCATTACATTATGTTAGATTGATTCATTGTATAGATCGCTTGCAAAGTGATTTATATTTAATTATTATATAAATAGCACTGCAATACTTGCCATTACATTATGTTAGATTGATTCATTGTATAGATCGCTTGCAAAGTGATTTATATTGATTTGTATATTGCTTTACATTGATCAAATACAATTTCCACTGAATTATATGGAGAACATTTCGGGATCAAGTCACAATATATTAAGGTATAATAATGATTTATATATCACTTTTATAAAGGTTATCTTTCTATTTTATTTATACGAAAGAATATATTTAAAGTATTCCGGTAAATTTGTTTGTCATTTTATTAAAACACATTTTTAACATAAAATATAATTAATATTTTTTTATATAAATTCATAGTGTTAAAAATGGGAGTCAGCTTGATATTAATGAAAACAGAGCTACAGATAATTTCAATAAGCGTGACGATGATAAAGATGAAATTAAATTACGAGTTGTTTGGTCTAATGTGATAAAAATTGGCTTATTCCACGCTTTTGTAATATTATTCTTTTTGAAATTAGTAAATGGTACGTGGTTAAATTTATATAAAACATTTTAATACATGTTGTATTAATTATATATTTATTTATACAAGTTTATTTATATGATTTGTAATATAATTAATGGGGACTTATATAGTTTATAATATTATTTTATATATGAAAATCGAACAGGCTCAATCGCAATGAAAACACAGCTATTCTATTTCACAATTGGCATAATGAGTTCGATGGGAATCTTATGCGGCGCCCACCGACTGTGGTCTCACCGCTCATACAAAGCCAAATGGCAGCTCCGGGTGCTGTTGGCCGGCCTACAGACCCTCGGCCTACAGAACTCGATATACGAGTGGTGTCGCGACCATCGCGTGCATCACCGGTACTCCGATACCGACGCCGACCCCCATAACGCCAAACGGGGCTTCTTTTTCGCGCACATAGGTTGGGTCATGTGTCGTAAGCACCCGGACGTCACCCGTTTGGGCAGAAAGGTATATATTGCCGACCTATGGGCCGACCCTATAGTCCGGTTTCAACACAAATACTACTACCCGTTAGCCGTGTTAATATGGCTGATAATACCGGTGTCAGTGCCGGTAGTCTTATGGGGTGAGACCTGGTTTGACGCGTTTCTGGGAAACTGTTTTCGGTATTTCGTGTTTGTACACCACACATTGCTCATCAACTCCCTGGCCCATTTAGGCACCCACTGGTCTTACCGTCCGTACGATAAACATACCAATCCTGCCGATATCCGTGCGTTTAACTACTTGATTGTGGGTGAGGGCTGGCATAACTATCACCACACCTTTCCCAATGACTACTCGGCCTCTGAATACGGCTGGAGAGACAACTGGAATATAGCGACGGCTTTCATAGATATGTTTGCGTGGATTGGATGGGCGTATGATAGGAGGCGCCCCACGGAGGCGGTGGTTAAGGCGAGAATCTCAAGAACCGGTGATTCCGACCAAAAGTATAACCGATTAACTGGTGTTTACCGATTGATGGATAGTATTACAGGACTGGTATTTATTTGTTGGCCTATATGGCTACCACGGCTGTTGAACTATATTTTCATCTAACAGCTACATATTAAAAATGAAATTTACAAATTATATTTATTTAAATGTTGTAAATGATGTACAGTCTGACCCCGAGATAAGGTTTTCATAGGTGCATGAGAAAACATTACCTTATCTCGGGATAAACATTATACGGAACCAATACAGTAATAAACTGCCGGTGCAGTAAACTAATGCACCTTATCA